TTATTATATTTAGAACCTGTTGGGCATCACTCTCAGCAACCAATACACCTAATTTCAGCTCAGTAGTAAAATGTCTGAGTTATAGGCATTTGAAATTGCCTGTGGTGGTCATCTCCTATTTTCAAATCTGGAGCTGTTCTTTATATGTATGTGCCCCCCTTAACTAACACCTTGACCACCCCTGGGCTACCCCTTGCAAAAAGGTCTAGCTCCACCCCTGTATATCACCTCTAAAGTGAACATTCTGCCATAAAACTTACACTGCAGTTGTACTCTAAAAACTGTTGGACATCAAAATGCTGGCTCTCTCATGAAACGTCCAACTTCCTGTGACTCGTTTAAACTTTAAATAATGTTTCTATTGTGAAGTATGTTTGACTATAAAGTTTTAAAGGAAGCTGACTTTTCCCACTCATTAAGAGGTTTCATCTAATTGTTATCTAGCAACTTTGTTCATTATATTCTATTTTATTTTTTATTTATTTATTTAACAATTTTTGAGATCAGGGCTTGTGACTTCCCAGTTGTTCCCTTTGCTTTTTATGTCCTGGAAAAAAGAGATTCTGTTGGCGTACACTTTCTGTAAGTTATGAGATACTAAAGATATGTGAGTTCATAATAATGTGCAGTACACCCAAAATTATATTTTGTTTATTGGTAAATATGAAAAAAATGCAATTTTGTTGGATTTTTTCTCAAGTCAATACTTGTTTAAAGGTCAAAAGCAGGTTTAAATTGGACAATTGAAGAAAAGAAATGCTTTTAGACAATATATGCTTGTCTTCTGTGTGGAGTTAAATGTTTCTGCTGTCACAGTCATCTTATCACCTCTGATAAACCATGACACACATATCCCACTTCACCTTCAACCCTCCACATCTAACCCTCCCAGCACAGAATCGATTTAGTGTCAATGTCAGATAGAGATACTATATTACTGCAGTTATAAAACCATATCACATTGATTTGTTTTTACCCCATAGAAGCACATGAAAGAGACCTTGGTATCAAACTTTACTTGTTGTAGCTCGGTGTTAAGTGATCAGAGATAAGAACGGGAGGAAATGATGCATCAGATGCCAAACTGATCAAATTCTAATTTGATAAATCGTATCTGCTGGTAAAAAGTAGCTTTCATTAACAGTTCAGAGATTTAGCACACACAAAAGACCTAGTCGTAAATATTTTATTGAGATGTGCGCACTCTTTCCTGCTGATAGAGAACATTCAGCTGACTGAAGCAAATGCCTTTTATCTTGAAAATGATTCCTGAACAAGAGTTTGAAATCAGGACACTGTGGGAACGAAGAAAAAAGTGGGATCATGCTACCAAAAAGTGTTGACTTTCAAAATCAGTCTCTGAAAACCCTCCCCCCAAAATAAAGGATCTTCTTTGTAAGCTTCTAAAAACACACAATTTAAAAGCTCTTGGCTGTTGATGAACATCTCTATCGGACTTTCTCTTTATCTTCCCTTTGTTCCAGCCCATTAGAGGGAGTAAAAGAAGGAGCTGTATCACTCAGAGGAAATAGGCTGAAGATTCTCATCAGCTTAATGCATGGACAAAGAGCCACATGCACAAACTATACAAATCTGTGCCCGATAAGATGTTTTTCTATTACATAATATGCAGTGTTTAATACAATAAACACTGTGTTCAGTACAAGACACACTGTGTTACAATGCAGCAAGTAAAGTTTGAACTTTATGCCATAAACACACACACAAACTAAGTGCCCTTTAGAAATTATCAGGCGAACCCTGTACTTGTGTTACTCATGCATGCACGCACGCACGCACGCACGCACGCACGCACGCACGCACACACACACACACACACACACACACACACAAAGACAGTGTATTTAAAGGGCTGGGCCTGTGAACGCTCTCCTTTCGATAGGCAAACAAACCGTAAGTCAAGTCGCTACCTCCTCTCACACACTGATCCGAGATGCCTGTCGACTACAATGGACGCTGGGAAATGGTGACCAATGACAATTTCGAGGAATTCATGAAGGCCCTCGGTGAGTTTTATCTAGACGCAACACATTTGACATTACAGACAAAGATAATATGGTAGACAGTTTTAATTGGCTGCTCTATAGTCAAAGTGGAAGTTCTGAGCAGATGATGTGAAATCAGCAGACAACTGAGCTGGTCTTGAAAGGAAAGGATGACAAGAACTATAGGAGAGAGAGATTATAGCACTGCTTTATCTCTTTACTGAGTCACTTCAGGTGAAGTAAACTTGTTCTAAGTGAGCAGCTGGCATCTGTTACTGTGCAAAATAAATATTGATGCAGCCCTTTCTGCATTTTTATCCTCCTGATCCGCAGGAACAAAAGATGGATTCCGACGGGTGGTTAGGGAACGAGCCAGCTCTCCTCCATTTGACGCGTCATTGATCAGGCCCAGAAACACTTTCATTATTCACGACTCTATCTGCAATTCATAGAAACGACCTCCTCGGTACTTTCAGCTCCCACAAAAATCCCGGAAAGCCTCATCACCTTCAACTCATTTTCATTGAGCCGCCAGGAAAATGACATCCTTATGGAAATGGGTCAAAATGTCATTCAGATGGGTAAATAAATGGGCCTCATCTGTAAGAGCGATGGACAGAAATTGATTTTTCATTTTAAAGCAAATTGAAAATGAATATCTAAATAGTCAGATAGATGGGGTTCACTTTGCAAGAGCCCAGCGCTGAAGGAGATGAGAGCTGATACAGAGTATGACCTATTCTGACTTAGTAAAAGGTTTTTTCGAAAACCCTAGACTATATTGTGATGTTATGACATGTGTGTGTTTTAAGTAAGGGCGTCCGGACTCAGGATACTAGTTTTTCTCAAACTGAACATGAGAACTTCAGTTTGAATACTTGCCTATACAGAGTACCAATACAGAGTACTTTCTGAGTTAGAGCTTGAATGTTACACAATGACTTTAAAAACACTTTTCTTTTATTTAGAGCGATGTGGCTCCCCTTCCCAAGGCCTGGAGCCCATCTGACTAGATCAAATAAACAGCGTGATATTACTGTTGTAATATTTAAAGATAAGACTTTCTTTAAACTTGTACACATTGTTTTAAACATGGAACTAACAAACTTTTCACTGCAACACATTTAATGTAATATTGATACCAGTATCCCATTGAAAATGGTATTGGTATCTTGTAAAAAATACTGTTATAATCAGGACACCATTAGTTTTGAGTGTATCTATACATGAATAACACCATTTTTTTAAATGCAGACATTGACTTTGCCACCAGAAAGATAGCTGTCCGCCTGCATCAGACTAAAGTGATCGTCCAGAACGGTGACAAGTTTGAGACCAAGACCCTGAGCACCTTCAGGAACTACGAGGTCAACTTCACTGTGGGGGAGGAGTTTGAGGAGCACACAAAGGGTCTGGACAACAGGAAAGTCAAGGTAAAACTGATGAAATGTCAAACAAAAACAGATTCTTGACTTTCTGGTGTGCTGTGCGACATTTAAATGTTTCTGTTGTTGCGTGACCAGACCCTGGTTAACTGGGATGGGGACAAACTAGTGTGCGTCCAGAAGGGGGAGAAAGAAAACCGTGGTTGGAAACACTGGATCGAGGGTGACATGCTACACCTGGTGAGGAAACAAGTGACCTCCTGAGCACTGTATAACTTTTTAGACATAGTCTTTCACTTGTGCCGAAACAAAGAAAAGGCTTTGCTTACCTGATGCAATAGTTTGAGTTGTATCATGCTGCTATTATCTTTGGGCAATAACAATAAAAATATAAAAGATATGAGATCTATCTGTTGTGAAATTATTAAGTACATCTCTTGCATCATGGTGCGCTCTGAGTCTGAAGGTCTCTGCCTTGTCTTGCAGGAATTCACAGTACTCGACAAAGTCTGCCATCAAGTATTCAAGAAGGTGCAATAAAACGGAAAGGGGTCGATGTCTGTACTACATTGTGTCATGCTGCTGTGTTTTGAATGTGGAGAGCTGTAATAAAATGTTTTAGTAAAACCTTTTCTGTGTTTTGGATTTTATAATACAATAATTTGATTTTGTGTTTGTTTTAGGCTTCTTTTTGGAGTCATTGTTTTTTATGTGGGTGGGAGAAACTTGAGTACCTGAAGCAAACCCAAATTTACAGCTTTGTTTTATTAAAGATGTTAAGGGATTAAAGCTGAATTATTTTTGGTTAAAATGGGAGATATAGTAGTATGTAGTATTTAGAAATAATATTGGAGAGTTAGATTGAATCTTGAATCTTAAGGGTTAGGATTAAGAGGTAAAGGTCAATGTTAAGTTATATTTTAGTAAAGAAAAATGTGTTGCATTTTTTTTTCTTTTGGCAAGATTTCTTTTTGGGCTTTTCACTTTCTAAGTGTTCATCTGTTGTAAAATAGTTTTAGAACAACTATTTTTTATTATCAGTCTGTGTTAATATTTTAATCATCTTCTTTATGACTTATTGCCTTCCTAAGTGATGCAACTGTATTTAAGAGACAGGACCTTTCTTTATCCCTCTCTGTTTGAGTCCTGGTTGGTGGATGGTCTCTGCAAGTTGAAAACTCTGAATGGCTTGAGAATTGTTGGCAGATTTTGGTTTTGCAGACAGCATCAGCATAGCTCTATCCAGGAACTGGTTGGTTTGTCTTTTTAGCAACTTGAGTGCCAGATGTTTTAGTGGAGTTGTCTTTTGTTTTGGGAGTTGATGGTTGATTCTCAGGTCTTGTGACAGATTGAATAATGCATTCAGTTTTGACTTGGGAGTTACAGGTTATCCTGCAGTAGAACTGTTCTGAAGTCTAGTTGAAACTTTAACAGCTTGCTGACTTGATGCACTGTGTTTCTTTTCTGAATTATCTTATTTGATTTTTGTTTCTGAGTAGAATTCAGAGGATGTATTTTTGTTTTACACTGGGGTTTCGGTGGCAGGATACCAACAGATTTGTTTCCAGAGGCTGGTTGGTGGATGGTCTCTGCAGGCTGCAAAATCTGAACTAAAGCACTAGTTTCAGAAAGCTTGGCAGATTTTGGGGTTGCAGACAGATCATCAGCATAACTGTATTCAGAGACCGGTTGGTTTATCTTTTCAGCAACTTGAGTGTCAGACAGTTTAGCTGTGCAATCAGATTTTTTGGATGTTGATGGCTTTTTTACAGGCTAAACAAAGGAGTCACTTTTCACATTTGAACTGTTTCACGGTTATATTATGTTGGCCAGTAATTTCTTTTGCTTGAATTCTTTTCAAAGAACTCAATGTACCTTGAAGAACACAGTCAAATACCATCTCCAAGTCCACAAAACACATTGCAATAACAGCTCAAGGTGGCTGCTTTGACAACTGAGGTGCAGAACATGGCCCACTCGAACTTAATGTCCCCTACCTTAGCTGAGATGAGGTTAAAGTTTTCCTGGAGGTGTGAGCTGAAGATCTTTCTGATGGGCCACGGGCCAGCTCTGTATATCTGAAGGTGGTTCTCTAACTCCTGTATTTGACACATAACCTACATGTTTGGTTGTTGATGTATTTGGTAAAAAAAATAAAAATTAAAAATAAAACATGAGAACTAGCAGATAAATCTTTAGTGAAACCAATATGGACTGAAAAAAAAATAACCCAAAAGCATAATTTGGTATAATGCTATAATAAAATGTACATAGTTCATTGTTGTGCCTTTTTTTTTACTTTATATTCCCAGCTTTGGATGTTTATATTAACCTATTTTTGTTCACAAAACCTTAAGCAAATGAACGTGTTATGAACTAGAGGTAGTAAATGTTTTATTCAATGTACATTTTCAAATTAAAGGTGCTGTTTTAGATAAATGGATATAAGGATAAGTTAGGAAATTACAAGTGTATGTAAAGCTATATAACACTAAAACTGGACTGTTACAGAACTTCAATAGTTTTTTTGTTTTGATCTATGCCTGTTGCATAATCAATAATATTACCTGGAACTGTGATACATTCAGTGACAATTCCTTAACTCACAATAAAACCATTCAATAAAAGTAGCCATGTAAAATTTCTGAAATTCTATTTTGGCTTCTGCTTATGATGTGCCATTTTAGGATTTTCAGTCCCCCTCTCCCACAAGCACTTCTTTAAACAATGTTTGGAGATGCCACTGTACTGTTATTTTCTTTGAACTGAAAGAAATTCCTTGGACTTCAAATCATTTTTTGCTAAAAAAAAATCTACTGAGGCTTCAAAAACATGATATTCAGGTCTAAAACCTAATTTTATTTTATTGTACATGTATTTTTTTTCATTGACATCAATGAAATACAGAGAGACAAAATCTCTCTAAAAGACAACATGTTTCATAGTAAGTTTTCAGATGGATGGCTGCAGAGTATAAAGATATTTTTCAACGGAATAGCATCTTGGACTCATGCTGAGACAGAACATCAAAAGTCATGTTTGACATATATTCCAAAACCAGTTCTGCCTTTTTTTTTTTTGTCATTCCTCATGGTGAATGAATGTTTGGGATGTTAGGCAGCTGATTCTTTGTCTTCAGCCTGATCCTCGAACGCCTGCAGAGCCAACTTGATGAAGCCTGACCTTTGGGACTCAGTCTCAGCATAAATCTGTGGAAACGAGCATCACAGGTCAGCAGGAAAACAGGAGACAGTTTCAGTTCAGGCTGTGCATCAAAAAAAATCCTAAAGGGGGAATATTATGTATTTTCCAGGCACATATTTAAATTCTATACCACAACCAAGTAACTGTTATTTTCAGCTGTTATAACATGTTGTATATATCAAAAATAAATTTGACTTTGCATGATAGCCTATTTAATTATCTTGGAATTGGCCTCTGTTCTACTGTTTCCAACACTCCCGATTCACCATGTCTTCAAACAATGCATCAAGGGAGGGGTGCTCGGTCACAGACTGAGCTCCAGGGAGGAGCTTTGTACAAATAGGTGGTACTTTGTTCCAGCAGTCGTTGAGGCAGCTCCACATGGCTACCACAGGAGTTTCAAGGATTTTTTAAACATGCATGAATGAGTGAAAGCAATACTCTGGGTATGTTTTTGATGAGGGGATGACATTTTAACATGATTTAAAGCTAAAAAAGTCAATTTTGCATAATACCATAAAGCTCTAATTAGAACCTTCTTACAATCCAACAGAGCAAAATATGAATTCTTGCCATTTTTCAACTGGTCTTAAATTTTTTATCAGGAGTTTATTTGATTTTTTTTTTCATTAGACATTTAGCTGCAACTAGTAGAGTATACATTAAAAAGTTAGTTGTAATTTCATCAACTAATTGAAGTCAAAAGAATTCAATTAGCTAAAAAGTCCTACACACGTGGGCAGAACTGTTGATATCCTTCGTTTAATGAAAGAAAAACCCACAATGGTCACAGAAATAACTAGAATCTGACAAAAGTGATCATAAATAAAAAATTTATGAAAATGAACAAATGAAAGTCAGACACTGCTTTTCAACCATGCTTTAACAGATTGTTTTTTTAAATACAACTCATGAAACAGGCCTGCACAGAAATGATGGTACCCCTGAAAATAATGTGACCAAAGGGTCACGTTAAATCAAGGTGTATCACTAATTAGCATCACAGGTGTCTATAATCTTGTAATCAGTCCATGGGCCTGTATATAGGGCTACAGGTACGCACTGTGCTGTTTGGTGACATGCTGTGTACCACACTCAACATGGACCAGAGGAAACGTGTGTAAAATCATTGGAAGTCAGTCATTATTATTAACTGAATTCAGGTCTAGTTTAAATCATCATTAGTTATAACAGATACATTTTCTTAATACAACATCTAGTTGTTTTGCCTGATTGTTGAATGAAATGACCATTATTTATGTATAAAATTATTACAAAGAGATTAAAAATAATTTGATACAGATCCAGTTGGGCTTCTGTCAGCTGAGAGCTGTTGCCCGTTCTACCATAGCTTCTCTACAATGCCAGGGCTGCATACAATGGGTGGGATAGAAGAGTGCACTTCAGTTGTTTTAGATAACTGTATGCACTCTCTCTACTTAAAAGGATGTGAGAAATAATTCGACTTGATTTATCCTGAACCTGAGGCCACAGATCCTAGCCTGAAGAAAAAAAATGTTAGCTATTCTTTTACTTGACCCTTTAATTCAGCCTGCATCACATGGTTACACATAATAAAAGCACAACAAAACCAGTGTGGATATAAAATCAAATTGTCCTCACCTTAAGCTGGTCAGTACCAGTGATCTGTTGCCTGGCAGCTTCCTGAGCTGACACACTGTTGGGATGGACCATGTGGAACAGAGACACAAGACTCACAGCATCCTGAAGCCTGACAACACAAACACACAGGAACTCAAACTTACAGCCGACGTTTATGTCTCAGTCTGAAGACGAGTTTAAAAAAACTCACAGCCCCTTCTTCAGCATGTCCACTAAAAGTCCGTCTATCCTGCGAGCATTGATGAGATACCAAACCATGCCTCCAAAATGTCTGGTGAATCGCAGCAACTCATATTTGTCGTGCTTGTCCAGGTCCTCGTATACGGCTGTATGCACCTAGATCAAGAACACAAGGAAATACACAAGTTAAAGTGTTCTCAGGAGTAATGGAAACCTAAGCAGGCAACTATAGTTCATGCCTTTTCAAAATAAATAAGAACAGATTACAAGGCGTGATTGTTGTGACTCCAAAACATGCATAAAAATCTTACAGACTCAGTACATTACGGAGGATTGTTTTCTTTTTTCTTGAAGCAGAAGTTTTGTACAGACAGGTAACAAGAGGAGCCTAAAGCCCCTTTTCCACTAGAGTCTAGGGTTGGGCAATATTGGCAAAATAATTGATCACGATTAATTGTGGTATTTAGCCAATAACGATTAATACGACAATTAATCCCCTGGAGTCCCTGGACACCTGCATGTCCTAGTCACATGACCAATTTAAATCAAAATTTATGTTTTTATAAAACAAGTTGGGTTGGGTGTTGATTTTTGCTCTCTATTTCAAAGAGGATGAGGAGAACGAGGAAGTTCTCCTCAAGCAGCTCCTAAAACTGTCAACCCGCTGACTGAAAACATTTGTACAGTATATAGTAAACTTTGTATACAGAAGCCCAACTTATTAAATAACATTTTTATTGAGATATTTTTTGGACAACCAAAATAATTTGAGGACAACCAGATTTTGTGTCCCCCCCATTAGGGTTGGGCATAATCGTATCGTTTGCAATTAATCGTCAGAAAAACATTAATCGATTACTTTTTGGCACTTGACGATTAATACGATTAATGCCAGCAGGCAGAGTTCGCTCGGTGCTCCTCTCTGCTTCAAATATGACGAACATTTTTAAAAAAAGTTCTGTAAATTATTTATCTATCAACACAATTTAAAATGTGATGTACAGCCTGAAGTCTGTAATTTTGAGACAATTTGGAACAGATTTGTATGAAGAACAAATCTTTCCCACTAAACTGGTCGTGTGACCAGTACATAAGGGTGTCCAGGGGATTAATCGTCAAATTAATCGTTATCGGCTAAATACCACAATTAATCGTGATTAATTTTTTTGCCAATATTGCCCAACCCTACCCCCCATGAGAGGTCACCGCCACGGTTTAAAAAAATCCTAGGGGAAACCCTGGTGTTGCATATCTTTTTCTTCTTCTGCTATGTTTAATGCTGGCAGGCAAATAGATTAATGGAGCATAACGCCACCAGCTGGTAAGGTGTGTGGCATCAATTTTCAGACTATGGGACCGCCCAACTTTACAATGAAACCACCCACTAGAACTGTTATTGAAGTGTAATGGAAAACCACTTGAACCGTGTTGAACAGAGTTCAGCCAAGTCAAACCATGCTGTAGAAGCACTAGTGGAAAAGGGCCAAAATGTTAAAGAATTTTAGGCAAATATACCTCTTCTCTGATTAACATAAAAACTGATATTTTTCAGCTTTTATATCCCTTAAGTATACTGGCAGAAGGCATTTGTTAATTGACATTTACGACTACAAAACTAAAGAAAATCATGATTAATTGTGTTTCTAACCTTTTCTAATGAAAATACATGAAAAACAAGGACAAACATTTTTCCACACCTGAATCTATAGCTAAGTCCGCCCATTTTAGTCCATGTTTAATAAAAAAATTATATCTCATTCCCCTGGCTGTGTGAACAAAGCTGCTCTCTTTTACAACCTGACATTTAACATTAGCACAGCTGCCTGCTCTTTTAGCTATAGGACTGTTTCATTTTCTTTCATAGCAGCAAGACATTACTCTTGTAATATTTTATTTACATGTCTTGAAACATCAGATATCATCAAAAACAGACACAATATACAGAATGTGTGCAGGACCTTAACAGAAGTTTAACTGTTCAAACACAAAACACATTTAGTATAACTCAGGAAAAAAATGTGAAAATTTTCACTGCGATATTATTTCTGACTACGATGTGTCAAAACATGGTTTTTTACCATGGATTCATTACAATACAACAAAACTGTATTTTTTTATTTTCTTGTATCAAACTTACAAACTGTCAGCTCAGATGATTAATGTGAACTCAAAGAGGAAAAAACTTTTGAGTTTACTTACACTAATGTAGTCTCCACTGTCAGGTTCAAACTGGACCACACATAAGTCTAACACTTCTTTATGGCGGTCCTGAGAAAACACAATCTAAAAGAAAAGAAAAACACATTTAAAGAACAAGGTATAAATAAAATTACTGACCAGAATCTGGGCCTACGTCCAAAATAATGTCATTTTAATGTGTGTAAAAACGTAAGACCTCCTGTGTTTTATGTTAAATTCCACTGTAACACTCCACATTTTCTTTATGGTGGAAACCACAGAACTGCAGTTTCGGACAAATGTGCTAAACTGAATAGCACACACATCCTAAACCAAACTTTTCTGTTTGTCTATTTTCTCCATGAACAGTTTCATCCCTATCACACACTACCAATGTTGATTTTGTTCCAGCCTTTAAGCTTTAAAGGAAAACATCCCAGTGTGAAACATGTGTTATCTTTCACTCAAGTTAAATGAAACCTGGAAGCTCAGCAAATGTAAAAAAAGACATGCAGTTTCAACAGCAGAAGCAGAATGCTATGATTTAGATCGGTAAATTCTGTCTTCTTCAATCATATTTCCACTAGAACAAAACAGCCCTAAACAAATAAAAATGGTGTCTTAAGGTGCCTGTGGCATCATGTTTTTGCAATATTTATATATGAATGCCTTTTTGAAAAAATAACATTTAATGATGCCAAAAAAATAATAATAATTTGACGCAGCTGAGATGAACAGTTGTTGACATATTCAGATGTGAAGTAACAGGAAGTGATGACAAAGGGGAATATCTGCATGTAAACAAAGCATTGTTACAATAAGTAACAACAGACTAGACAAGAATCTGAAGTTCTGTTAGAGTATTTTGATTCACGATCAGATAGAGATGAAGAGTCCTCAGGGTTCATCTAATACTGGTGTAACACACAAAGACCACAGAGTTGCTTTTCTTAGAGTTTCCCTTTGATGCCATTTCCTACTTCACATTGACTGAGACAAGTTGAAGAGAAAAAAACGCCAGTTAGGTGACAAAATGGGTTAACTGTGTGTATTGTGCCAAGTTTCTTAAATGTTACAGTGTTTTCCTGGACCTTTTGTATGTGAACATGCATGTCACAGGCACTTTAACAGCTTTAAATACTCAATCTGCAAACAAACTTTCTATACTGTCAGAACGACTTGATTAGTGCAGGAACTGTTCAGAGAAAAAAATATAAAGCTAAGCACAGGGCTCATAACAGGTTTTGTGTGAGCAGAAATACAGCAGGAATGTTACAGTAAAGACAGACATGAGAACCAGAAGATTTTTGTTTCATCCCAATATTTCAGTCCGTTTGCCATTTCTCACCTTGAGATTCTCCTCTTTGAAGACGAGTGGTGCCATTATTTTGCGTCCCTCTTTGGGGAAGTAAACCTGAACGAGGCGGTCTCGCTCCTCCCAGGTGGCCTTTCGAAGAGTGCCGTCAGGCTCCCGAACAACGATAAACCTCTCCTGAAAAACAGAGACGAGGTTTAATCAATGTTTACTTTCACTGCTGCTAACACAACACGGACTGAAAATGTGCTAAATTCCCTAAAATCAAACTTGTACAGATCTGTTAAACTTAATTTAACTTACTTCTGATATTCACCACGGTAATTATTTGTCATTTCGCAATAAAAACTATAAAATCCCACCGCGTGCTGCCAGGCTTTACATGTCTTTTTTTTTAAATCGTCACTTATCGTTATCGTGACTAGTGCTGTACCAAACGATTATTTTCTAATCGATTAATCTAACSATTATTTTTTCGATTAATCGATTATTCTAACAACAAATCTAAAAGTTATTCTGATATGAGTGCACTGGATATTTAAAATGTTTTCATCAAATTAACAAGAACAGTTCTTT